GACATCTCTACGGAGAAGACAAACAAATGCTCAACACACATGAGAAGATGCTCAGCATCACCGATCACCAGGGAAATGCAAATCAACACCACAGCAAGAAACAACTTCACACCCACTCGGATGTCTATTTTTAAAAAATAAAAAAATCACAAGTGTTGGTGAGGACGTGGAGAACCTGGAACCCTCTTGCACCATTGGTGGGAAAGCAAACTGGGGCGGCCACTCTGGAAAACAGTACGGAGTTTCCTCAAACGATTTAAAAATAGAACTACCATATGATCCAACAATTCCACATCAGTGTATATGCCCCAAAGAGTCGAAAGCAGGATCTTGAGGAGCTATTTGCACACCTGTGTTCTTAACAGCATTGTTCATAGCAGCTAAAATGTGGAAGCAACCCCAGGGTCCATTAATGCATGAGTGGACAGTCAAAACGTGGTCCACCCCTGTAATGGACTATCCTTCAGCCTCAGAAGGAAGGAACGTCTGACACCTGCCACAACATGGATGAACCTCGAGGACCCGATGCTGAGGGAAATGAGCCAGTCATAATCAGACACTGTGTGATCCCGCTAACCTGAGGGCCACAGAGCAGTCGGGTTCCTAGAGACGGAGCAGGTGGTGGGAGCCAGGGGCTGGGGCGGGGTCCGTGTTTGGTGGGACAGAGCGTCAGTTTGGGAAAATGAGAACGTTCTGGAGGTGGACGCTGGCGGCGGCTGACAACGGTGTGAACGTGCTTGATACCCCTGAACTGTACACTTGAAATGGTTAAGATGCCAATTTTCAAGTTATGTTTATTTTACCACAATAAAAAAAAAAAGGAAAAGAAAAAAATCAAGAGAAGGGCTGGATTTGGCCTTAGATGTGAGTTTGCCGATCCTCGATGGAGGGGTTCTGCAGGTGCATCTGCGTGTCTTTCTTTTTTTTTTTTAAGATTTTTTTTATTTATTTGACAGAGAGAGAGCACAAGCAGGGGGAGTAGCAGAGGGAGAGGGAGAAGCAGGCTTCCCGCTAAGCAGGGAGCCCGATGCGGGGCTCGATCCCAGGACCCTGGGATCATGACCCAAGCCGAAGGCAGACGCTTAACCTACGGAGCCACCCAGGCGCCCCGTGTCTGCGTTTCTGTTGACCATTGACTGAAGGCTCTGGGTCTGTGATATTATCTTCATGTAAACTTGTAGGGTTCTGTCAAGCAGAGGACAAATGATTCCTCCACAGTGGGAAAGATAATCTCAGGTTAAATGTTTGCCCTGGAGAACAAGAAACAGTTTTGTATCTGGCCAACAATCTACTCTAGCAGTCTTCAAATCTCTGCAAATAACCAACTCCTCAAATTCCCCCAGCAACCATCTTTTTTGTTCGTATGTTTTTTTGTTTTTATTTTAAGTAGACTCCACACCCAGTGGAGCCGGCCAGGGGCGGGCCACTCAGCAACCATCTCTACTATCCTGCTGGTTCCCTCGTTAATGAATTAAATAAACTTACAACCCCTGCTCCTTCCATATTTGTAAGAAGGTTTTTAACTTTTTGGAAGTTTGACACCTTTGAAGTCACAGTGACACAAGAATGTGGCCTTCCGGGCACCTGGGTGGCTCAATTCATGATCCCTAGGGTCCTGGGATCGAGTCCCCTGTTGTCATCGGGATCCCTGCTCAGCGAGAGGGGAGTCCGCTTCTCCCTGTCTGCCCCTCCCCCCCGCTCATGCTCTTTCTCTCTCAAATGAATAAATAAATAAAAATCTTAAAAAAAATGAACAAGTTAAAAAAATGTGGACTTCCGTCTGTTTGAAGGCATGCAAACCACCCCACACTCCCAGCGTGTGTGACAGACATTACTAAGTGATCACAGACACCCCCCCCCCCACACACACACACGAGCCCCCCCCCCCCCCCCGCCCAGCTCTCGCCTTAAGGCTCTGGGGAGCCGGGCCAGGCCCTTTGAAATGACACCAGTTGGCCATTCCTGATGTAGAATGGGGCAGTGGCCTTGGAGCCCTGTGTGGGTGGGTAGCCTCTCTACAGCAGGTGGTGGGGTTTTGCAGGTTGAGTGAGGTGGGTCTTTCCTGGGGTGGGTCTTAAAGTTCATTCAACCTTCTTTCAAAGTTTCCTTACTATTTGCCGGGCCTTGGGCTGAACACCGGGGGTCGGAGATGGACAGCACTCAGTCCTTGCCTTGGGGGACCCAGGAGGACGAGGAGCACGTGGGTTCAGGGGAACCAGGCTTAAATCTGAGAGCCGCCACTCTAAAGAGCGCAGCCGACACACAGCCCAGCCAGTTCTCGGTCACAGTATTTGTACCCCGTTCACCCCCGTGAATGAGGAACAGGGAGTCAGCGGGACACCGCACTCCAGGGGAGATGCAGGGCTCCGTTTCTGCCGCCTCTGCTCACAACGTCTTTGTCAACCGTTCAATATGTAATCTGTTTTATGTGTGTTTCTGTTTAAAGACACCTTATTTAACACATGCTGTTGATTCAACAACATCCAACTTACAGGGGCGGAGCCCCTCTGATGCATTTTCTCCCGGAGGCATGTCGCTCGCTGTCTCCTTGCGCTCAGGAATGCGGGACAGCTCTTCACCACGACCCTCAGGCGGCCGTTTTCAATAGCGAAATCACCACCAAAAAGCACAAAAGTGTAAACCGTGTGGCACTAAAGGGCCCAGAAGGTCACTTAGAGTAGTAAGCTGCAACAGGGCAGAGGGTCAGGTGGCCCTCCCGCCCTCAGCTGGGACTGTGCGCCCAGGGAAACACCCTGAGGACTGACTGGGAGGTTATAGAACAATTTAGTGAGTACACAGATTTGCAGATGTGAATAAGGAGGATATAAGCGTTGACAATGACAGAGGAGGGCAGGAGCCTGGTGGTGACCCACAGGGCCCACAGGGCGGGAACTGGGCGCTCTCAGCCTCCCTGGTGGGATTGGGGGGGGCTCTCCTCCCCTGGGGGCCCAGTAACCTCTTCCAAATGCAAATCTCACCTCTACCCACCCCCTCCTAACTTCACCGTCCTTCCTTGAGTTGAAGTTGAAGATCTCCTTCCCAGGGTGGGCTGGACTCCTGCCCCCAGGCACCAGCTCCATCCAGCAACCTTGCACCCCCTTGTCCCCCGCCACCCGGCCTGCTCTTCACACTTCCCTCAGTTGCAACTTCATGAGCTTTTGTGCAATCACTGCCCCTCTTGTCTCCCTACCCCCAACCACTCCTGAAGACAGGGACTCTCTGTGCTGTGGCAGCTCCAAGGACCTGGGCGAACATAGTTGGTGTTGGACAACTGAGGGAATGGAAAGTGACCCTAGGAGTGCTGTGGGCTGACCTCAAACTGGGGGACCTCTCCCCTGAAAAGCGAGGTGCTCGGCCAGGAGACCCCTTGTCCCTTCCAGCTCTGGTGGCCTCTGGCCTCAGTCCAGGGTCAGGAGCCTGCACGCATGTGCTGGGGCCTGGAGAAGGGCCGGGGGGCAGGTGAAGGGGCTTCCGGAAGATCCTGGGTGGGGTTCCTCCCAGAGCAGCAGGAAGATTAGCTGCCAGGCGGCTCTGTGAAGGCAGCAGGGAGGGCCCTGACCCCAGAGCCTGCCCGTTGGACCCGTGGGCAGGCTGGTGCAACCATCCCGGGCTATTACTGCAGGCTGGCGGCCGAGAGGAGGGTTGTTCATACTCTGCATTTACAAAAGCAGGACTCGAGCATGATAAGAATAATTCACGCCAGTACTCAAGGGAGACAGTGAAAAGCACCGACTCTTCCCCAAGCAGCCACTGTTAACAGTCTCTTGCGTGAGAATCTGGCTCTGCCTTGCTTGCCCGGTGACTTCAGGTACATTTCTCTGGGCCTCAATTCTCTCATCTGTCAAATGGCCATAAAATAGCAAGTATCTCATGGGGTCATTGGGGGAATGGATGAGTTACTATATGGACACACTGGCATACAGCAAGACTGCGTTAGCCGTTCCATCGTGTATGATGTATACATACGTGTATTATACACGTGTGCCTACGCGTCTATGGCCATGTACACACCCCGTCCCGTGACTTTCTAAAATGACAAGTAGGAGCCCAGTTCACTGTTTTGCCTCTTGATTCTAAACTTCGGAGCCCTTTGCACCTGAGCACATGTCTATTTAACACTGTGGCTAAGAATCTGCTGTGTATCATCCCAGTGAAAGGACTTATGGAAACTTTCCCTCTGATTTCCCATGTTTTGGTTCAGTGTGGCAGACAATTTGTTACCGTTGAACACAGTTTAAAATGCATCACCTCGGGTGCCTGGGGGGCTCAGTCGGTTAAGCCTCCGACTCTGGATTTCCGCTCAGGTGGTGATCTCAGGGTCGTGAGATCAAGCCCCGCAGTTGGGCTCCGCCCTGGGGTGTGGAGCCTACTAAAATAATAATAATAATAATAATAATAACAATAATAAATAAATAAAATGCAGCAGCTCTAAAGCAGCCCGATTTATTCTATGCGGTCCTTAGCCCTGGGGTACACAGGCCACGTCCGAGTATTAATGCGCCTGTGTAGAGACGAGGCAGCGGACAGGGGACGGGGGCACGGTCGCAGGGGGGGGGTCCTCCCCTTCCCCCCTCTTCCCTCCCCTCCCCTCCCCGCACCCC